TTGATTTGTGTATATTTCACGAAGAGGTTGTAGACCAGACATGTATTTTTAATTTGATTTTTTGTTTTTGTTTTTAATATAGCTATTGATAAAAATCTTGAACACCTCAACGTTAGATATTTTTTTGGTTTCTAATTTGATTTCAAAAGTTTGATTAGGTAGAGCCGCCAGAGGTTCCTTTCCATTTTGTAACAAAAAAAAAGGAATTAAAACCAGAACGGGTGTGTTATATATGTTGTTTAATTTAATTATGGCCATGTTCTTTATGATGTCACTACGGTAGCGTTCAGCGGCCGAAAATTGTAAAGGAAAAGAAAGAATCGATGGCATCGTCTTTTAAAATTTAAAGATACATCGGATATACTCATAGGCTGTTCATGTAGATTTTTACATACAATTTAAAATATAGTTTATCTACCCATTGTTGTGTCGTATTCGTCTACAATGTCAAAAGTTAGTGTGCATGGAGACCATGCATGATGCATCCTCCCTGATCATTTTCTTTTAGTATCGAAACAGTGCGTAGAGAACACAGCAGAGTACGATTATAAATACATCGTGTATTGTCTCTATCTCCTCTCTCTTGTGGCAGATGTTGGCAGAGCCAAATAGAGTTTTGTTATTTATTCACCGCAAGTAGTTTTTACTTTTACCGTTATATTTTGGTCGTCTCAAGTTACTGTACTATCTATCTCTCTCTTTATTCTCTTTTTATCATACTGATGTACTCTCTATTGAAATCACTGGAGACTTGTATTCTAGTTAAAGTTTATGTATTGCATAGTTCAAGTCCGTGAATCTAGAGTGTATAAGCAAAGCCAGAGAGGAGAGGAAGGGGTCTTTGTGCCAAGGTCTCGTCTGATTGATGAGGAAGTGGACCTCTTTTGAAGAAGTTGTTGATAATTGAACCCAATATTTAAAAGTCATGATGCGCTGTCTGTTTTTCTGTTCTTACGCGTTCGTGTTCTCTCCATAGATTTGATTTTCCCTCAAATGTACTTCAGTATTTAAGGTCTCTAGAACAAAGTTTAATCCTAAATTAAACTACCAAACATTGTTAGAATTAGATTTTACAATAAATATTAAAAGTCTAAATATTCAAGAAAGTGTTACTGAAAATATAATTTGAAATTAAATTAATTAATTTAATTATAAATAAAATAGTAAAAATACAACTGTTTATACAAATCTGATAAAATTAAAATAATCTACATATTTGAAAATATATTATCTTGTAATACAGCAAAAAAATCTCAAAACATCTTTTATACTCCATATAATAAAAAACAGAGCGTATAATTTGATATGCCATTTATTTTTATCTTTTTATGCATAGATCTTTTAGCACAACACCATTTCCAAGTAAATTTCCACGAGTTTTTTATATAAATTCTTTGTATAGTATAAAGCTGGCTTTTATGACAAAAAGCTGTTTTTAATGATCACTCTTTGCAACAATCACTTTTCGAATTTCCACGTTGTAGCTACATTAGCTATTTTTGTGAAACATAAACAAAAACGTAAAACGAATTTATTATGAAATGATGGAGCTTCGCGGGTGTCTTGTCATTTTCTACGCCACTAAAAAAAACACGCATTATTCTCAAGTCTCTCTTATGAGAAAACAATTGATCTTAGATTATATGTTTGACTATTAACTTAATATTTTATTGGGTCTTCCGTGATTTCGTATAATTTATTTTTGGGTTCACCCAAAATTCATCAACCAATAATATTTGATTATTTGATATTGAATATCTTTTAAGAAAACGAAACAAAATAATAGAGGATTTATTTTGTATTATATCTTTTAAATAAAAATACAAAACACCTAAAATAGCAATAATTACAAAAAATTAATATTAATAATGTTGTCAACATAATACTAAACCCTAAACCTTGGGATAAATCCTAAACTCTAAAAATATAAATATTAAAACTAAATGTTAATAACACTAAAACCTAAATTCTAATCATTAAACCTTTAAACTTTGGATAAACCGTGAACTCTAAAATTTATCATTTATTCAAAACTTCATAGTTTATCCAATGATTTAAGGTTTAGTAGGATTTAGGGTTTAGTGTTATTAAGATTTCATTTTTAATGCTTATATGGTTTAAGATTTATTCAAAATTTTAGGATTTTTCCAGGGGTTTAGAGTTTAGGATTTATGATTTAGTATTGTGCTGATTTTGTTAATGATATTAATTTTTTTTTGCAACGATTACTATTTTTTAGATATTTTATCTTTTTATTTAAAAAATAAATAAATTAAATATTTTATTATTTTGTTTTTTTTTTTAAGATATCAAATAATCAAATACTATTTGGTTGGTGAACTTATAGGTTTATCCTATAATGTGAACCCAAGAATAGAGAGAAAAACCTATAATGTGAACCCAAGAATAGAGAGAAACCAACTAGTGCATGGTTTGTTAACTCGCGCTACAACACTTTCAAGATTTCTGCTGCAGTATTTGATTCACATTAACCTGACTGAACACACTCTCAATATAACATTTATACTCCATTAACATTAACCTGCTGCAGTATTTGATTCACATTAACATTTGTTACCATCGATTTTGTTAAACCATACCGCCATAACTGCAACAACTTATACTCCAATTTCATGAGAAATACGAAACACCATTAAAGTTCCTGGGATATGAGGCCCCCAAGCTAGCTTCTGATTATTAATGACAAAAGCAAAATGGACCATCAAATAATAAATTCAAGAAACATCATGGGTCTTCCAAATCTAATAAAATATTGCAATATTAACAACCAAAGAATTACCCTTTTCAGATTTTTACAACGTTTTTATTTTTGACCAGCATTGAATAATATTTCATCTTAGTATTCGGTGAAAATGAAAAGACCCCTAGCTACAGTTAGATCGAAGCCTCCTATGAGTCCCTCTCTCTCTCTGGACACAATATATAATGAGAGAGAAAGATTTTCATTGCCATCTCTCTTTCTCTCAGTCTTCTAAATCTTGTAAAATTGTCTCACTCTTCAGTTTCTCACGTTTTCTTCTTCCACCTGCATTTATGGATTCAACGTACCACCGACACCATCGTCACAACTCTGATGGTCCATCTTTTACTAAATTATATAGATATTCCATTTTGTGTCTTCTTTGATTAGCTTATATATGCATCATGCATGCCCTTTATATGGACCCGTCTTTGAGATATGAATCATGTGTTCTTACATAGAAAAATCATTTCGTTATTCAAATATGAATTGGCTTGGATAATCAGATCAAAATAAATCGTGTGTAGTTGAAGTATGTTTGATAAATATATATAGCCCTTATTGTATTGGAGATTCAAGTATATAGTCACAAAAGTGCATGTAGTTATGTTGTGATTATTGTATAGACAAAAATAAGTGCATACGTGTGTGGTTGATGAATGCAGAAGTGTGTAGTGTGGAGTGGAAACTCATAAATATGAGCCAACAAGAGGAAGATCTCATATTAAGAATGTACAGACTCGTCGGCGATAGGTATATATTTTTCTATCTTCTTTTCTTTCTCTTCCAAAATCATGTATAATGACTTTACCAAAACAAATGTGACATACGACCATACGTTCCTACTCTTAATTAATTTGGTGTTATCTTAAAAGTATATCAACCTATATATGTCACTCTCCCTGCAATGTCCAAAATAGTTATCCGAACTACCGTTTAGCCTCCAAGTCCTTTGATTCCTGTTACCCTAAATGGCTAAATCTAGAATATGAAAATGAAAGAGCATTAATTATAGGTATATATATAGTTGATATAGTGAGGTGCAGAAGGATATAGTAAAATCTGTATTCCATTGATATATAACTATGAATTTTTACTCATTCCGTGTTCTTATTATATTTATTTTAGAGAAACACCTATATCCTCCATATAGTTAATTAATGAGTTTAAATTTTGGATGAGATGGGGTTTAAGGTTTGGGAAATAAGGTTAGGATCTAGAATTTAAAATTTAAATAATACTTTTACAATATTTACTTTAAAGAAAGTTATATTAAATGTATTATTATTTAAAATTACCCTAGTCTTTTTTTAATGAAATTCATTTTGGTCATTTTTTACTTGTGTTATTTTGGCCATAAAAAACTTTTTTTAATCTTTCAGGAAATTTGTCTTTTATTTTATTCTTAATTAAATTAATAAAAATCTACGTTTAAATTATTTTTTTTCTAAAGATACAATTCTTTTAATTTATCTTTATTTATAACTGAGCTAATAAATAATACATACTATTGAAGTTTAACAATTAAAGAAGGATAAAATAAATAAAAACTTTAAAATACGTATAAACAGAGAGAGAGAGAGAGAGATTATATGTTTGTTTTCACATTTACGATGGATGATAAAAACATTAAAAAAGCAATAATAATAACAGGTGGGAAATAATAGCAGGAAGAATACCGGGACGAGAGGCAGGGGAGATAGAGAGATACTGGATCATGAGAAACAACTTACACCTCTTCCTTCCATCTTCCAAATCTTAACCATCTTCTTGATTATGCTTCCATGTTTACTTTTTGAAGTGCTATGCTTGTTTATGCTTCCATGTTTACTTTTTGAAGTGCTTTGCTTTATCTCCAAAACATAAAACTAGATGAGGAAATCATGCGTGAGCCGATGTTTGCTGTTGGTTTTAGCCTTTACTTAATCTCATCAAATCGGATCAAACACCGGTATTTAATAGCTAAACAAAATCCTTGCTCAGAAACAGAGTAAACGAAGCTTTGTGGATGATAAACTTGTGTAACTATACTTTTTGTCCTTTTTTCTGAATCTTCCATTATTACATCTGAAGACTTTTGTTTCAGATAAAAACTCATATATCACCACAACACAAATGTGTTTCAGCGTCACAAGATTACACCATCCTTGCCTGTGCTTCCTCCACATGTCTGCCATTTGATGAGCTATACAATTATGATAAAACTAAACTTCAAGGCTTCTTTACTTTCCTCACAAGATCTTCCATAGTTTTTGTCTCTTGATTCAGAACTAGAATCTTTGCACAATTTGATAAGCATTTTAGCGGTGCATAAGAGAAATCATTTAGATAGCTGTTAGATAGAAAAAAACATATGAAAGTTTGCTTTCGTCTCAGTGGTGCTTCTAAAAGAGATCATCAATTAATTCTCCAAGCCTTCCTTGTGAGAGATTCACTTCAAAATTGATTACCAAACCCGACAAAAACCGGATTAAACCACCGGTAAATTAATTAACTGAACAATTTTTTTGGGCTCAAAGTAAATAAGGGGTTTGGTGGAGGATTGAGAGCCTGTTCAACTTATTTAGGTTGAGATAGAGAAGCTATAACCTAAAGCCGTATCCACATTCATGTACTTTGTTTGGGGTCATGATGAAGCGTAATGGCGATGCAGAGCATACTTGACCACTTCATAGAAGGAAACCACTATCCCAACCGATGGTCCTGCACGTGCCACCCTTGGACCTATTCCTGTGAACAGTCCTCTCATCCCTCCATCCCTGCGAGTTAGTATACATATTGTTATGTCTTTGTTCATTGCAAACACAGAAGCATATAACAATGGAAGCTTTCAAAATATACAAACACATACCTCCAAACCTCAATGAGTGTCTGTCGCGTTGTCATTCTCATTGCCCTACAAGGGTCCCTCTGAAAATATTGAAAAATGGTGAGACACAAGTATGGTGCTGTTATAAGCAAACAAAGACGTTGCAAATCAAGAACACACCTCTATCTGTCTTCTTGTTTTTGCAACGTCAAAAGGACAAGTAGTGGCAGCAGCTATACTTCCAGCTACAAAACCAGCGGAGAAGTTTGCACCGAGGATACCAAGAGCGTTTGTATCGTTTCCCACGATTCCAAGAAGCCTCCTTCTCATCTGCAACCAAAGGAGTAGGTCAAACCAATTCTTTTTTCTTGCTCTACAAACATCTCTCTGCATAGTACAATGTTTTAAAACATGTAAGATAGCTTACTGGCTCGAGAGTCGCCCAGCAGATTGCTGAGAAGGGAACATCACGGGCTAGCTGTGCACCCAAGCCTCTCCAGAGAACACGATAGTTGTGCACTGTTACAGGGAACATGTACAACAAAGACTCAATAAATAAATTAATATGTCAAGTTATTGCCATTTCCATGGTTAGAGAAGAATAAAGAAGCAACTTACAGCTATTTTCAAGGCTATTTACTGTCCTGACTTCAGAGACTACACCAACGAGTGTTTTCATAACTCCTGGAGGCTTCATACCGGCTTTCGCTACTTTGAATGCCTAGAGAAAATGAATAGCAAGTCACAAAAAGATCCCATTGAAAAGTATATAACACATTCCAGAGTTATAGAAACATATGCCCATTGACAAGTATATGCAGACAAGGCTTATACCTGCATACGGGTTCTTGCAAGTTCAATAGGATAGCAGACTGTACAAGCTAAGGATCTTGCCAATGCCCCTGCCACAAGAGGCACAAATATTGTCGTAGCAGGCGCATTCTCCCGAGATAACTCTTCCAACTTATTGCGAAACATATCATAGAACGGGAGATAAATTCCAACCTGTGCAGAAAGAAACTTGACGAGTTCACTTATCCAAACAAACAGATACCGAAAATGCAAAATAAGAGAGCATACCATAGGCACAGCGAGAGCAAGACCAGCATTAGTCCCTCTCCACAGGCGTCCAATCCCCTCCTGTATCAGTTATTACATTAGTGAATAGATACACAGGAATAATTCTAGCCTCTCAAACAGATAAAACCATCATTAATCTTCACACTGCAAGGCACACTCAGTCACCTGACGTATGATCTTGGTGAAGACATCAAAGGTTCCTTTGTACTGAAAACAATCAGGAGGGCAAATAGAGACAGTACCCTCAACTCCAGCACGTGCACACGAAGGAGAACATCTCAAGTCTGCAAACATCTAATATCCAAAATAAAGAAACAAATTAAATTACTCAAACACAATGTCAAAAGCATTCTCCTTTAAACTACTCTGAAGAATTCAGAGACAATACCATGTTCGGTCCAAAGAAGGCCATGCGACCAATGTCGTAACTGAGAGGGTGAGAGTAAGAAACTCCAGCGGCTTGAGCTTGCAATCGAGTCTGACGACAAAGCCCACAACACAAACAGAGTAAAGGTATAAACTTTCCGGTCTAGGAACCAAATTCAAAACGAAAAGAGCCAACCTTGACGACGTCGAGAGGATTTAGAGTAACGGCGGATAAGAACGCAGCTCCGGCGGCGGAGAAAACTCTTTCCGTCAAACCTAGCTTATCCTCCGGCGAGCCCTTCTTCTCCACCAGAGGCAAGGATATTACTTGCGGTCTGAGGCTTTCAAATTCAGCAGTCGAATCTGTGATCGGAAAGTCAAGGACTTTTGTTACCGCCGGAGACGACGAAGAGGGCATCTCTGAAGCAATCCAGAGGTTCTCTGACTCAACCATTTGGCTTGTCAGATCTCTGAATCTACCGTCGGAAAGAGGTTCGATTTAGATCAAACACGCACCTTGATCGATTCCTTGGAGAAGAGCAAAAAAAAAGGGTTTGTTTTTTTTTTTTTTTTCCAGATTCCTTGGAGAAGAGGAAACAAGAGGAGAGAGAATAGGGAAAACTAGAACCACAAAGGAAACACTAAAACCCTAAGGCTTTTACGCAGCGTTTTCGTAGGTTTTTCGGGTACTAAACCGTAATTGAACCGAAACAAACCGATCAGTTGACTTTACAATTTGGTTAACGAAGCTTGTGTGAGTGTTGTGTCGAGATGTAATAAGGGTTTAGTAGAAGATAGGCAAAATTGAATGTCTCTTTGTTTTCGTCAATAAGAACGGGTCTGACGCAAGGTAGGCCACTGAAGTGGAGAATTTTCGTTTTTGTAAGGGCTCCACAATTTTGATGTCTTTGCTATGCTTCTACAAAAATAAAATATTTGGTGGTTCAAGAGGTCTAAAGAGTGGCAATCCACGTGTCAACAGTTCCACCAAATACGCTCCTTACATATGTGTTTGGTCCATAAAGTGGGGCCATTAGAAGGGGATAGCAGGGCTAATATTGCTACAAGGCTAATATTGCTACAATACATTATAAGAGAGGTGGTGGTTCAAATATAAGAAGAGGACAACAAGGTAATGTGTGGAGGGCTTCCTCAAACTGCCCATCTCCAGTTATTCCCTTTCAACATGGGCCAAACGCAGAGAGGTTCCCAAATCTATGATGCCACAGTTCCTTTCTTCATCCATGTTTGGGGTTAGGCCTTGGATGAAAGTGAGTCATTTTGGAATTTCATATCACATGACTAGTGCTGAAGAGGTTCTCCGGTCACCTGCCCCCCTCACATAGCAGTGACAGATTTAGAAATAGAACCGGTGATAATTTAAGCATGTAGAAACATTCGTTTTAGACTCCCACAAAATCTGGGAAAAAATATAGATATAAATTTCTAGTTTTGTGTGGAAGTACAATGGTCTATTGGTTAAAGTTTAAAGGTTTTTATATTCAGATCTGAGTTTGAATCTCAAACTGTGCAAGTTCTACATTATCAGGTCATAGATTCAATTTAAAAAAAAACGAATTATGCAAAAAAATTGAAAAAATATTCATAAAAGATCTTTAGCATGGCGCAAGTAGTACCGTCATGAATGAATTTTATGCAATAGTTAAACGTGATACAATTAGACGTGAATCCGTATAAAACAGATAGAATTATCGGATATAATATCGTTTATGTAATATTTTTTTATAATTTATTATAGTATAATTAACCAGACAAAAAAAATTCCAATTTTTTTTAAAACCCCTCAATTAATATAGAAAAAAAAATTAGTTGATATCTTTAAAAAACTGCCTATAGTTCCCTGAATCTCAGGCCGACTAGAAACCGTTTTAATTGGGAGAAAAAGTAACATCTAGCAACAAATTATACTACATGGACTAATTAAAATCTGAAAGAAATTACACTTGAAGTTATAAAAAGTCATGATGGATGTCTCAGGTCCTCATATGCATGGTTTCTTCGAGGATATGAGTGATGCTAATTTAAAATATCCGATAGAATCCTTCTTTTATTTATTATACAAATTATTATTTAAATTTAGACTTTTCTAAAATATTACAAATAATACATATCATATAGTTGATTGAACTGTATTACTTAATAAACCAACATGATTAATATGTGTAAACTAAATTTAAAAAAAGATGGTTATCTATGAGATAGAATCTTAGGTTTACTTTTATTTTTAGGACAAACTATATGGTTTGGTTTTTGGGCTTAGTATTAAAGAGAAATTCCAAAAAAATATTGAATAAACTTTCTATATTAATTGATCAAAAATCAATTACTATTAAGGTCCAAAGGTGTTTAAAATTTTTAACAAAGCAAAATTGTTTATTATTAATCATTTATTTAAATCATGTATTTTAAAACATATTAATGTATTTATTTTTTAAATAACAATCATTCTGTTTTGATAAATTTTAATGGTAAATTTTAAATGATTTATTGTTTTATTTTTCTTAAATAATTTACTGATTTAAAAAATAGATAAATGTAAAACAAAATCAAAAACCAAATCTAAAAATCAAAATAAAAACCAAAAGCTAAAAACGCAAGTTATATATTTTTATTTACAAAATAAAATATTGCAATTTTATTTAAAAAATATTTCATCTTTTTAATTCTAAAAAAAAATTATGATAGTTTAAAGAAATCGACTTATCAATTTTAGATATATTGGATTACAAATAGTATTTTATGTTGAACCCACCAAATATAATTAAAAACTAATCCATTATATCTAAAAATGATGAATTCAACTTCTTGAATTTATTATAAAAGAAATCACATATCTAATTAATATTTTTTTTTATTTACTGTAGTACATATAAATTACAAAATGATTCAATCTTATAAAATAAAGTAAAATATTATTTAATTAATATAATTTGATATTTAAATAATTATATATGTGTGCATTAACACGGAAAAGTTATCTAGTAAAAATTACTAAGAGCGTAATATTTTTTAAGAAAATGATAAAGAATACTAGAAAAGTACATCCATCGTTCGAATATATAAATTTCTTATCCCTTTGGGTAACAGAGAAATTACAAATAACGCAAACAAGAAAGAGAGAGCTTTTTGATAAAGAGCAAACTGAGCAACGGATAGATTATTTTTTCCATTTTGGTATTCCAAACGCCCAAATTCAAAAACAACTGGCATAATGATCACAAATAGAGATGATAAGAAGGCAAGCCCGTTAAGGACAATAAACACAAAGGCATTCTTGAATTCCATAGTCATCTGCCCAGCCCTGTGACCATTTCCATCGCTAGGCTTTGAGGAATTTTCCTGCCAAAATCCGCCAGGAGGACTGAGACCGGCCTGGTATGTAGCTGTGGCTTTCAGTATAGCCACTACAAGTAATGCATCCCGGCGCTCGCTAGTGTTTGGAGACGTCTTTCTTGTCAAGTTGAGATTACTCAGCCCCAAGAGATTGTTACGTCTCTCCATAATCGATAGCTTGCTGCTTAAGTATACTGCAAGAGTCGTTGTCGAACCATAACCAGTTCTGTCTTTAACCCAGTTGATAATTCTTCTTGTTATTGGCAAACGAGATTGATCAGGTTGTAGTATATCCATCGCAGTTTTGCCATCCAAGTTCTTGGCTTCTACTTTAACGGTTTTACGCAGCAGCTTCATCACCTGCAAACATCGTGC